GCAGCCACCGGGGCGAGCGGCCGTTCCCGTGCTCCGAGTGCGACAAGCGCTTCAGCAAGAAGGCCCACCTGACCCGCCACCTGCGCACGCACACGGGCGAGCGGCCGTACCCGTGCACGGAGTGCGGCAAGTGCTTCAGCCAGAAGATACACCTGGGCTCGCACCAGAAGACGCACACGGGCGAGCGGCCCTTCCCCTGCACCGAGTGCGAGAAGCGCTTTCGCAAAAAGACGCACTTGATCCGCCACCAGCGCATCCACACGGGCGAGAGGCCCTACCAGTGCGCGCAGTGCTCACGCAGCTTCACGCACAAGCAGCACTTGGCGCGGCACCAAAGGGTGCACGAGGCGGCCTGCCGCGCCCCGCTGTCTTCCGATGTGCCCGCCCCTCCGGGTTCTCCTGCCCAGACCCTGACCCCTTCCCCTCCGGGACCTAAGCCTTTCGTCTGCTCTGATTGCGGACTGAGCTTCGGCTGGAAGAAGAACCTCGCCACGCACCAGCGTCTGCACGGCAGCGAGGGGCGCCCCTTTGGATGTGACGAGTGCACACTGGGCGGTGCCACCGAACCCTTGGCCTGCGGGGATCGCTGCACACAGGCGCCCCAGGGCGCTCCCGCCAGCGAGCGGTCCTTTTCCTGCCCAGACTGTGGACGCGGCTTTGCCCACGGGCAGCACCTAGCGCGGCATCGGAGGGTGCACACGGGCGAACGACCCTTCTCCTGCGCGCAGTGTGGCCGTCGCTTCGGCTCGCGGCCAAATCTGGTCGCCCATTCTAGGGCCCATAGCGGCGCCAGGCCTTTCGCCTGTGCGCAGTTCCAAGCGGGTGAGCACTGTGGCAGGATGGCCTAGGCCCTGACGGCTGTTTTTCGTTCCTCTCCATCTTGCTGGGGAGACATCCGGAAAGGATAACCAGCTTTAACATTCTGTAACAAAGTGCTGAGTGAACCCTTGCTGGGAATAATTCCTGCCTGCATCCTTGGAAGGCTCCCACCAAGAGAAGCCCTGGAAAGCTGAAGTTCCCCGGACCACCCCTAGCCAAGTCAGGAACCTCTACAGGGGGAGGGAAAGAATGGTTATCTGAGTACTTACAGTGTCATTAAAATTTAAATCTGAAGTTTCTAGGGCTTTTAAATGAGCTGGGGGAGGGAACCCCTGACTAATCCACACACAGAGGACCTGGCTTTACCTACCCTGGGTGAGTTCCACTTACCCAGCTGCTGGTAATTGCTCTACCAAATCAACATATAATACAGCTAATTTCCAAACCACTCCCCTGCTCCCTGCCTCTAGCTCAGAAATTTGACGAGGAAGAAACAGTATACATTTCCCATGCCAGGTGTTGAAGGCTGGAACATGGGGAATACACAGAGAGGGGGCAGGTGCCCTTTGGCTGGGCTGTTCCCATGGAGACACGAGGCAACCCTGGCTTCTGGAGCTCTAGAACTTCTGCTGTCTGCAGCTCTCCCAAGGGGCTCTCAGAAAAGCAGCCCCAGCTTCCACCCTGCCTGGCACCATGAGGAAGGACATTAGTGGTGTATGAAATTTCTTTCCCATCACACGTTTAAGTTGTCGTTATGATGGATGCTTGAGCCAGACGTCTCTGTAGCTGTGCCTCCCCAGCCGAGGCCGCTGGGAGAGCTAGCTGCCTGTCAGTAAAGGGAAGGGGTGGGGTGATGGGGAACAAGTTGAACCTGGAGTGAGGAGTCCTGGGTTTGACCCCTCCTGTGCCTCTTGTAGACTTGGAGCAGCACATTCATTTTCCTGGGCCTCTGCTTTCTCATTACAATAAGATTATTGATGTTGATGAGGGGCAAGGGAGAAGGAAAGGGGGGTTTGAATGCAGTGAGTTTTAACAGGCAGCTGGGAGAGCTCGCTGCTGGTCAGTAAAGGGAAGGGGTCGGGTGATGGGGAAACAAGTTGAACCTGGAGTGAGGAGTCCTAGGTTTGACCCCTCCTGTGCCTCTTGTAGACTTGGAGCAGCACATTCATTTTCCTGGGCCTCTGCTTTCTCATTACAATAAGATTATTGATGTTGATGAGGGGCAAGGGAGAAGGAAAGGGGGGTTTGAATGCAGTGAGTTTTAAGTTTCCTGGCCATGAGCAGGTGGTCACAGTAAATATGACAGTGTGGCTATAAATGGGGCCATTGCGTTGCCCCAGCAGCATTGTAAATACTTGGAGATTTCACATAAAAATCTGGACTTCCAGCTTCTCTCATGAAAAGTCAGAAGATCTGGCAGCTCATGACTGGGGCTGAGCAGAAATTGGCCTCATTCAACCAAGGGACACTGACCCCCAACTGGAGGGGGCTTGCACCCCCTCACCCGCCACTCCCTCTCCTGAGATCCCCACCTCCCTTTCTTTAGAGGTCTGTGGTCCCTCTCCCTGTTCCACTCATTACAGTGAACTTCTGATATCTGATGAAGGTGCATGGGCCCACCTGGGGCTCCCGGCACAGCAATGACACTCTGTATATCAATTTGGAATTAAATAAATACCTGAGATGCTGCCAGTTGTGGGTCAATGCAGAAGCTCTTTTTGGTAAGTAGAGAGAAAGGTTGAAGGGAAAACAGTGGGAAAGGCCCAAAGATAAACTTTGTTCTACTGAATTAAATAAATACATGAGATGCTGCCAGTTGTGGGTCGATGCAGAAGCTCTTTTTGGTAAGTAGAAAGGTTGAAGGGAAACAGTGGGAAAGGCCCAAAGATAAACTTTGTTCTACAGTTTTGCCAACAAGAATGGTTCTCAACACATTAGAATCTCCTGGAAACGTGAAAATATACCAATAGACGTGCACTTTTCTGTATATTTGTTATATTTTAACAAAGAGTTTATATATGTCCAGATTGGTAGATATAAAGATGGATGGATGGATGGATGGATGGATGGATGGATGGATGGATGGATATAGACAGACAGACAGATGACAGACGTCAATGCTCTCTCCACTCGAGACCAATTGAATTAGAATCTGCATAAATGGGGCCTGAACCTGATTTTCAAAACTTTCCCCAACTGATCCCAATGTGCACCCAGGGATGAGGACCATGGCTCTAGGGTCTTGTCCTTCATCACCTTAAAGTCCAGGTTCAGGTTACCACCAAGCCAGAAACATTTAAACATTTAAAATGGAAAGGATGGAGTCTGAGGACATGCTGGGCAGACACGGATGCTCCAGAATAAGAAAGAACACTTTTCTAACTTCCTTCCTGTAATGATGTCTGAGCAGCCTGTTAGCCCCAGAGAAACAGGCACAGCGCTGAGCCCCAGATGTCAATGTGCACAGTTTCGATGAGAATCCAAGGGCTCTATGAACACTTGGGAAATTTCAGTAAATTTATTCAAACAGCCTCACTCACTCTCTGGTGTCTCAAATCCAAATAAATGCACCATTCATTCAGATATTCAGTTCCTGTTTATTGAACACCCCTCTGTCCCTGACCCAGTGTTTGGTGCACAGATACAATACGGATCTGCCTTCACTCAGAGCTTACAAGTGGTTGCAGGTAAGTAAATTTAAAAATAATCTCCTTTTTTTCTGCCTCAGGCTGCACACACCTACTTTGAGGGTGCAGCTTTCAGTGTCCTCTTGCTCTGCATGTTTAAGGGCCTCACTTTGCTCTGAAACCAATGACCCCAGTTCCAAGTGCAATTCACCCCCTACTGGCTGTGTGACCTGGAGCAAGCTTATTCTCCTCTCTGTGCTTCGCTTTCCTCGTTTGTAAAATAAGAATGATAATAGTATTAACATCTGCCTTAACTGTTATGAGAAGTAAGGAGTGAAGGAAACTATTAAAAAGTGCTCAATAGTTTTCTCTATATAAATATTTTCTGGTTTATTCCTAGATTCTTGAATATTTTTTGCCATAAATGAAAAATTTTAATTAAAAAAAATTAATTGTAATAGATTATAGATTCTTTTCAGTTGTCTATGTGTATGGTCATATCACTTGTAATGACTCCTTTCCTCCTCCTTTTGGATTTTCATGCCTTCTCTTCCCTTGCCTTACTGTCCTAGCTAGAACATCCACGCTAATGCTGAATAATAGTGAGTGTATTTCCTCTCCTTGTTCCTGATCTGAAGAAACATTCATGTCACCATTAAGTGTCACGTTTACGATAAGTTATTTTTTTGGTAATCTCTATCAAATTAAGAAATTTCCTTTCATCCTAGCCAGTTTGGCCAGTAGATAGAGTGTCGGCCTGTGGACTGAAGGGTACCAGGTTTGATTCCGGTCAAGGGCATGTACCTCAGTTGCAGGCTCAGCCCCAGCCCTGGTCTGTTGGGGCGCATGCAGGAGGCAACCAATCAATGTGTCTCTCTCACATTGATGTTTCTCTCCTTCTTTCCCCCTCCCTTCCAGTCTAAAAAACAATGGAAAAAATATCCTCAGGTGAGGATATGTCACCATTAAGTATCACGTTTACGCTAAGTTATTTTTTTTGGTAATCTCTATCAAATTAAGAAATTTCTTTTCATCCTAGCTGGTTTGGCTCAGTAGAGTGTCGGCCTGTGGACTGAAGGGTACCGGGTTTGATTCCAGTCAAGGGCATGTACCTCAGTTGCAGGCTCAGCCCCAGCCCTGGTCTGTTGGGGCGCATGCAGGAGGCAACCAATCAATGTGTCCCTCTCACATTGATGTTTCTCTCCTTCTTTCCCCCTCCCTTCCAGTCTAAAAAACAATGGAAAAAATATCCTCAGGTGAGGATTAACAAAAAAAGAAATTCCCTTTCTAACCCTAGTTTAGAGTATTTATGGATGTTGGCTCTTAACAAGCCATCTTTCTGTGGCTATTGAGATGATCAGATGACTTTTCTCCTTTATTATGGTGGTAGGTGACTACTAGTGATTTTCAAATGTTAAAACCAGCCTTGAATCTCTGAGATAAACCCAACTTGGTCATGCTGTTTTATTTCTCTTTATAAATTGCCAGATTGTTTGAAAATACTTATTTAGCATTTTTGCTTCTTTGCACATTTTTGGAGGTTGGCTTCTGGTTGTCTTCTTGTACTGTCCTTAACTTTTGGTTTCACACTTATATTAGGCTCATAAAATGAGTCAGGGTATTCAATATTTTTCTGTCCTCTGGAATAGTTTGTGTATTACTGAAATGATCTCCTTAAATACATGGTAGAACTTATCAGTGAAGCTCTCTGGATCTGCAGTTTTCTTTATGGGAAGATATTCCATTCTATGCAATTTTTCTACTTCTTCTTGAATCTGTTTTAAGTTGTATTCTTCTGAGAGTTGTATAGTTCAATCAAATTTTTGGCAACGTTGCTTGAAATATCTTTTCATTTTTATATGGTCTGTAGCAGTATCTACAATGATGGCACTTTCTTCATTCCTAAGATTGGTTATTTGTGACTTTTTACACTTGATCTTAGCCAAAAGGTGTGCCTACTTTTTGTTATTGACGAATTATACCACAAGCTGGTCAATTTCATTTTTTGTTAAAGAAACATTTTTTGGCTTTCTTGATTATATCTAATATATAATGCCATTTCACTCATTTTTGTTCTTATCTTTACATGCCCTCAACTTTTATCTGGATTTCCTTTGCTGTCCTGTTTTTACCTCCCTGTAGATCCTCAGCCTTTTCTTTTTCACATACTCATTATATCCACACATTTCTCAGTACTGATTTAGCTTTATCCTCAAAGTTTGATATATGGTACTTTCTTATAGCTCAGTTCAAAATATTTCTTCTTTCTTCATTGACATGTGGGTTACTAGGAACATAATTCTTATTTTTCCAATATATAAGAATTTCTCATTTTTTATTGGCTTCTAGCTTAGTATGGTCAAGAGAACATATTCAGTATAATACTGTCAAATTTGTTTAATCTTGCTCCAAGGGCTTACTATATGGTCAATTTTTGTGGCTGTCCTGCATATACTTGAGAATATATATTCTGCAGCTTGTGGTCCAGTGTTCTATATATTCATCAACCGAGACAACTTTAATTGGCTTGTTCAAATTTTCTGTATCCTTCCTAATTTGTTCTATCAACTTCTGGAAAAGGCATGCCAAAATCTTCCAAATATGACTGTAAATTTGGATGTTTTCCTTTTAGTTCTTTAAACATTGAGGCCAGCAGAGGGAAAATGGAATG